GTGGTCCCATCTAGGAAATAGCTTGCTGAGCTAGATTGTGGCTACTGCTGTGGCACTTGTAATCTTATACCAGATCTGCCATGGCTTTGGGATTAGAGATTGGGGCTTGCCAACTTTGAAGTTAAATTGGTCTTGTAGTTAATTAATTAGAGCCATATGGTGTGGCCCAGAAACACATGTGTGTATGTGTTTGTGTGTGTGTGTGTGTGTGTGTGTGTGTGTGTGTATAAACACACACGGACACAAAACCTGATTTCATTTTCATTTTTCAGCGGCTGTTTTTTTCTTTGAAACATTGATTTTTGGGAGATAGGGGGCAGGGAATTATTTTCTGAAGAGGAATACTTTCCTCAAATTATTGGTTAAAGAATATTTTATAAATCTGGCATCACATTGTGACATTGTGAACTTGCAACATAATATTATTCTACTTTACTGAATTATGTCATATCATAATAGTAAGGTGATTTTGAAAATTTCAGTAATCATGACTGGAGTTACCAAATGAACAACTAGAGTTAACTGACATTCTTTGCTCTATACGATGTTGGTTTGAAGCAAAGTTTTTGGTAAATGGAGTGTCTGATAGGTTATATTTGTCAAGTTAAATATAAATTTTGTTCCTTAAAAATAATAATATAAAGGTTGTTAGAATATGAAAAGGGAAAATTATATTTCTCATGTTCTTTAGTTTTTATACTTTAGAATTATCTATCTTAAAAAGATTTAATTCTGTTCAGGTATAATTAAAGTATATGGACAGTTATACTAATCTTCCTAAACTTCTTTGGCATTTATGTGATTCCCTACATGTTGAGTATCTATTATGATTTTAGTGTGGAGTGAGAGCTGATGGGCTATAAAAAAGGTGAAATATGTAGATTTTATTTTCCATCCCAACATTGAGTGTCTCCACTAGCTGTGGACATAAACACACAAAATTCAAATGATCGGATGAGGCTGCCCACGATTAGTGGTTGTGAACATGAATAATAACACTGTTGTGAATAGGAAAATACTCCTTGTATAGAGTATTCATTTCTTAGCTGTTTATTGAGCACCTACTAGTATAGAGCATAACATAAAGCATATTACATAATAGGCATTGAAGTATTTGTTGAACATTGCCAGGAAATAGGATACTGTGTCTGCCCCCAGATTTCTCATAGTTTCGTGGGAAGAAAGAGCCATAGAAATGAATTATTACAGTTTGGTGATAACAGTGCTGATTTGTAGATGTTAGAGTGCTGTGCAGGCTATTCTGGGACAAGAAAAATGAACAGAATTAAATTCGAGGAGGATGGAATAGGGTGAGATGGGAGAGGGATTCCAGGCCGAAGCAGGTTAGTAAAGATCAGTGGTAGTGTTCTGTGTGGAAGTCCTCACTCTAGGATCTGCTTTTGAGGGCTCACCAACCCTGTGGAATTATATGCAGTGTTTTGCTCTTCTATGCATTTTTCAGGAGAAAGAGTCTCTAATAACTTTGAGTGGATTTATTTATACAGTAGAATCATGACCCCAAAATGATTGAGAACCAAGGGCTTAGTATTAAAAGCTTGCTCTTGAGCCACCATGGTCCCAATTGTCAATCAGGTGGTAGAAGTGTCTTCCTCAGCAAAGACACAGCCCTCCTCTCTCATTTCCTCCTATAACCTAAAGTACAAAACACCATCTGGAAATACTTCCTGTATTAGTCCTGCAGGATCTGTCTCTCTCTCTCTCTTTCTTTCTCTTTTTGACTCTGTGTGTGTGTGAGAGAGAGAGTATGTGAAAGAGAGAAATTGAGTGAAGTTTGTTTTTTGGGTCAACTGTAGTTAAGATTAGGGAGATTGACAAGTAAAAATTGATGGTGATAGTTGTTGACTTCTTTTTACCCGTTTCTTGAGTGAAAAGAAACTTCGTCCTCATACTTACTTATCCACCTTTACATCTAACCAAGCAACTAATTCTCTTTGGCTTGAGGGTCTGTGCTACAGTACTCACTGACTTCACTAATTTGATCTCAACCTTTTCTGGGGTTGTTGGTAACTTTGCTAACTCTCTGCTGTATCATTGCTGAACATGACATTTGAAGACTTTTTTTTTTTTTATTGCCTGTCAAAGAAGTAGGATCTGTAGTGGGAACTCCAGGAAGATTTGTTTTGTTTTGTTTTTAAATTTTTAAAAAGATTTTTATTTATTTATTCATGAGAGACAGAGAGGCAGAAACATAAGCAGGCTCCAGGCAGGGAACCTGATGCAGGACTCTATCCTGGGACTCCAGGATCACACCCTGGGCCGAAGGCAGGCACTCAACCACTGAGCCCCACCCAGGCATCCCCACTCCAAGAGATTTGTTAGCATAGAGAGTTAGACTCTTAGGATTTTCATTAGCTTTTCACTCTTTGCCTTTGTACTTGAGTAGTCTTGGCTGTGTGCTTTTCCTTTGCTCCCAACCCCTTGTTTGTACTGAAATGAAATAAGCAAATAGAATTTGTGGCTTTTACTTGATAGAAGCACAAGGGTTTTGAAATAAACTTTACGCTTTCTTCTTTACTCAGGGATATTTTATCTATTTTTCTTTTCATATTATACTATCTAAAGCCTTGTTTTTTTTTTTTCTGTCCATAAATTGTAAATTCATGTTGTTTTTCCTGTTATTAAATAAGTGATTCTTTTGAATTTTGGCCTTAAGACGTATATGAGAGTATGAATACTTTATTTAAAGTGGTATTTATTAAGTGAGGACGTGTGTCAGTAGAAGACCACATTTAGTGTTGATGTGATTCTGTACTTGTTAGATGCCCCATTGCTTTCATGTTAATAAGCATTATTGATTTTTAAGAACTCCTTCAACTTAATAAACAGTCCTTAGAGAATAAAGAAACATTAAATAGGCTCATCAATTACAGGATTCAAGTGGACTTTGAAAATGAGGAAGGAATTGGAGAAATGTGACAGCATGAGAGTTAATATATGTGATAAATGTTGTGGTCTTGTGTTCAGATATATACCTGGACTTACTGACCACTCTACTATCAGTTAGCTATGTGACTTTCTGTAGGTGAAATTTTCTGTGCTTTAGCTTCTTCATGTACAAAAATTGACATGTGTAACATCCATCTCATAATAGATACTACAGTAATTAAATGCTATACTGTGCCTGGTAATCAAATGTAGTCTTGGTAGTAGGGATTCTAGTGGTAGATATTGGTAGTATTATTGGGGGAAGGAACCTATTACCAAACACTAGAGTTTTTCAATGGAAATATCTTTCCATCTGTCCATCCATCCTGCCTGTTTGCCTGCCTGCCTGCCTGAAGAATACAGTTAAGTCTCTGAGCTAGGGTATAAACTGTGGAGATACTTTTTCAGTTTTGCTTCTTGAGTACTTCCATGTTATTGAGTATTCCACATTTTCTATTCTAACTTTAATGTAGTCACGTAGTCTTTAACCCTAAAAGCAAGTTAATTTATAATCTTAGGAAAACAGATTGAGTAGCTTTGAAAATGATTTTCTACATTGTGAACAAGGAAGATTGTAGAGATTCATTTTCAAAATAAAAGCAGTTGAAGCCAGTGATTTTTTTGATGCAGCAGTGCTCCAAATTGGCCTCTGCCCACAGGGATTTACATTGTGGCCAGCAGAAACTATTGCCGTTTACTAACCCATCTAACCTGTAATGAGTTGGGTGAAAGCTTGTTTCCATCCTTCTTGATGGCATGGAAATTACAGAGGCAAGAGCCATGTGCAGAATTGCCTGAATATTGAATAAAGAATTGCTATATAGCTCTTTTACAGGTAGATAGAAGAATTACATCCAACTTTCTGACAGGATTTCTTACAAAATATGTGTCATTTCATTGAATGATTTTAGGGATTACTGTATTTCATCAATTTCAAAATGAACATTTTCTCCCACATTTTTATATTTTAAAAATCAGGGATACTCCTTGCAAATGATGGCATCTTGGAATTGGCCAGATGGCAATTATGATATAGTTGTCATATGCCTGCACATGAGTGAACTTGGTCAGAGCTGTCTATATTGTTGTCACTTCAGTTGAATTGTGTGCATTTTTGGTATTATATGAGTTGAGTTCAATTACCAGTAACATGTCTTCGGAAAGATTTACCCTATAATTTGACATTGAAACATAATGTACATAATACAGCTTGGAAACAGAAGTGAGGCACAACTTAGATATGAGGGAAGCTGATAATTGCCATTGAAGAAGTGGCTTCAGTTCATTGTTTCCTGCCAAGCCATAGCCATGTGCTTCACCACACCTACAAAAGAAAATACCTGGAACGCCTGGGTGGCTCAGTGGTTGAGCATCTATCTGCTTTTGGCTCAGGGTGTGATCCCGGGGTCCTGGGATCGAGTCCGATATTGAGCTCCCTGCACGGAGCTTGCTTCTCCCTTTGCCTACATCTCTGCCTCTCTCTCTGCCTCTCTTGTGAATAAATAAGTAAAAAGTCTTAAAAAAAAAAAAAGGAGAAAAATACCTAAGTAGAAGAGGTTCTGCAGTGCTTCTGTTTTCTGTTTCTGAGGTCTCTGCTAAAGCATTGCATGTCACATGTGAAGCCAGAAAGCCAGCATTAAAACTTGTGAAATGAGCATCACTAATTTGGAAGAATACCTTTGAGGTACTCCTAAGGAGTGCTGCCTATATCCCCAACATTCTTGATGACCCAAGAATTGAAATAGGGCAAAAGTGTGTTTAGATTTAAAGTAATTTGGAAGCTTAAGACATTTCAGGAATATATCAACCAGTTAATTGTGCATAATTTTTTACACGTGCAAGAATAATACATAATAGAAATTTATGCCCAAAGTCAGAAAGTCCTTTCAGCACTTTATAACATAAAAATTTAAAGTGAGAAGAAAACCTTTTTGAAAGTATAATTAGTGATGTTTTTATTTTTAATAGTATAGCTCATCTGCAATTATTTGATTCAGTGACTTGCTAATTTGTTATTGAAACTATAAATATAATTCTTGGTGTAATTATTGTAGGTGTCTAATGGATAAGAACTTCGTTAGGATTGGGAAGTGGTTTGTCCGACCCTATGAAAAGGATGAAAAACCAGTCAACAAAAGGTGAGTCTTACACTTTTAAAGTTTTCGTTCCTTTTGCTTGACCACAACTATATTGTAGGAAGTGGTGGAGGAAGCAGCTAATTTATTTATTTTCCAATAATATTAGTAATTTATATGTGTTAAAATAGATTGCTGGATCACATTTTATTAAATATTTTCTTAAATTTTTGTAAAATATTGGAAATTGGACTAGAAAGAAGATTATCAATGACCCATGTCTATCGAGCCCCTTCTTACTACACTATTTGGAATTTAAAATATTCTATTTTGTTATTTTTATTGTCCTTTTTAAAGTCTTTTTACCTGAAAGTGTTATATGTTGTAACTTTAAAAATAGTCAGCTGAATTTAAATGCTGATAATTTTTATAGAATTGATTGATGCTCCTTAAAAGTTGGTGAATAGTTTTTTGAGATTTCTCAAACCAGGACTATGAATTACTTTCTGAACAATCCTAAACTTTTAACCATCATTTATTGTATGCATGGCTTTAAAAGCAGTCCTTTATACTGAGCAACCATGCAATTTTAGATCAAACCAGGATCAAAAACCAAAGCCTTCAAAACCAAATATTTACTTCACTTACCTATGAACACAGCATAGACTTATTTGAGTCATAAGTTGATGGGTGATTATTTCATTTCTGAAGAGCAGCACACACAGTCTCAATTCTATTTTGCTGTGTGTGAACTTGCCCCAAGCTAAGGATTCCAGCTTTTGGCTGCAGATAAGAGCTGTTGAAGTGTTACATGGTAGCTCTAAGGTTGGTAGTTTTTAGGTAGTTTGCCACAATTTTGGTTGGCAGCTCTTGCCTATTTTGGAACTTTTACTTTCTTGTTTCTACCAGTGATTAACATTAGCAGCCTTCTCTCCAACCTGTATGTCTTAAAGCTTTGATGAAGTGATTGTGTTATCTCATTAACCAAGCCTGATTTATAAAAATTGGGATTTCATTTTTCAAATCAGATAAATTAGGGACTGGCATTATTATTATTATTATTATTATTATTATTATTATTGCCAAATCACCATCAACTTATTTAAAATAGTTTCCTTAGTACATTTCAAATCCTTTAGGATTTATTTTAAAAATTGTATTTAAATAGGAAGTAGGTGTTATGTATAACAAGGTTTGCCTGAAAAGGATAATAAAGCTTTTTAGAAGAATAGTGGTGTGTATGGGTGTGTAAAAGTGGTTTTGTTTACAGATACCTTGATAGAAAGGAATTTTTTTCCTTTATTTATATTGATTTGGTCTAACTAATACATTTGTTCTGTGGACATGTTATTAGTGTTTTCTTATATTTACAGAGGATGTTGATTTTCTGAGTTAAGTTGGGCTTTCATGTTGATAAGCGAATGGTTGTATGTGGAGTTGCTTTGGCACAGTGATACTTACCTTTCATTCCTGTGTGCCTCCCTATGCTCAGTGTATATTCTGACAGCTGGCCAGATGCTGAACTAACAGAGCCAGTCCTAAAACTTTTGAACAGTAGGTATAAGCATTTGTATGATGATTTTACAGTAATTTAGAGGTGAAGGGGAAATGTGGAAATAAAATAGGGATTGAAAGAGTAGCAGTTAGTATTTTATTAGTAAAAACTAGTGTTTGAAGTCAAATGTAGTTACCAAATATGTTTTATATAACATTTATATATCTTTGCACTTCTTTTACATCCCAGAGGTCTTCCTAACTTCAGCAAATCAGATGTAAATAATACTTACATAGTATATTTAGATATTTGCAACTGGAAGGCTGTCGATTTCTGAGTAATTGAATTATCTTGTTATCTTTAGATTTTTTTTTACCCATGGTTGAATGTGGAACTCATTTTATTTTAGTATAGAAATGTTAATGATCTTGAGAAGCCATTTTAGGGGGTATTGCAACAATTGCCAAAATTTTAAACTAAACACTCAATTTTTAAAAGTTGGCATTTGCTGGGGTGCCTGGGTAGCTCAGATGGTTAAGCGTCTGCCTTTGGCTCAGGTCATGATCTCCAGGTCCTGGGATGGGATGGAACCCTGCATTAGGCTCCCTGATCAGCCAGGACTCTGCTCCCCACTCCCCTTCAAATAAATGAAATAAAACCTGTTTTTAAAAGTTGGCATTTGCTATAATAAAATTTTGTTAGGTATGATGATTTTATCCAACTTTTATTCTCTGAATGGAAAATAGAGCCTCTTGGGATGCCTGGGTGGCTCAGCAGTTAAGCCGTTGCCTTCAGCCCAGGGCGTGATCCTGGAGACCTGGGATTGAGTCCTGCATTGGGCTCCCTGCATGGAGCCTGCTTCTCTCTTTGCCTATGTCTCTGCCTCTCTCTCTCTCTCTCTCTCTCTCTCTCTCTGTCTCTCCTGAATAAATAAATAAAATCTTAAAAAACAAAAACAAACAAACAGACAAAAACAAGGAAAATAGAGCCTCTTGTTGAATGCTGAAAACAGAACCTTATAGTGGTCATTTTGGATGGACAGAGAGTGATGCTGTGGAGGAGTGCATTTAGATTTAGAAGATTGGGGATCACATCCCATGCCTCTCCTAAGAAGTTATTTGCTTTTGGTCAAGTTGTTTAGTTTTCCTGAGGTGAACTTTGTTTTTGGCTGTAGGTAAGTTGATTATAGTAATTACTTCTACTACTAAAGGGTTATTGTGAAGATTAAATGAAATAATTTATGTGGCTAGTTTATACTTTAGTTGAGAAAAAGCAAAAGTGCTAAACAAATTTTATGTACAAATTTGTATTTTTAGGAATGCTCTTATTTGATGCCATTAGATACAAATAAGAGAAATATAGTTTAAAGAATAGTATTCTAAGTATAAAGTTAAGTAGGTCTAGCATATAGATACTTTTGTTCAATAGAATAAAATATGATTTAACACAGCATATTTTATGGTGCTAAAATAGTTCTAATAGTGTTGACAAATGAATATATTGATGAATAGATTTCATCTGTTGGATTAACAGCATATGATTTCTTGAACTGTAATTTCTCCCTGTATTGATAACAGCTAAATTTGTGGACTGTAATAGTTCATAATGTTTGATACGATATGATGGTTAGGATAATTTTAGAAAAATTGTTACATGATATATGTGTGTGTGTATCAATTTGAACAGGCAGATCCAAGAAGACAAGTTTATTCATACTATTTTTTTCTTTATAAGTGACACATCTTTTGTTATTCATATCCTTAGGAATATAATAAGATAGAAAGAAAACTTTGGCTTACTCCTAAAGAGTTGTGACAACTGACATAAAACATGTAAAGTTTCTGGGTTTCTAAAGTATGTTAAGCTTGAAAAAACTTTTCCTACCAGGATATGCTTAAAAACAAACCAGTGTGTGTGTGTGTGTGTGGGGGGCGGGCAACCCGGGTGGCTCAGCGGTTTAGTGCTGCCTTAGGCTCAGGGCCTGATCCTGGGGACTCAGGATCGAGTCCCACATTGGGCTCCCTCCATGGAGCCTGCTTCTCCCTCTTCCCGTGTCTCTGCCTCTCTCTCTGTGTCTCATGAATAAATAAATAAAATCTTAAAAAAACAACAACAACAACAACTCAGTGGGGGTGCCTTGGTGGCTTAGTCAGTTTGGTGTCTCCCTTTAAGTTGGGTCCTGATCTCTGAATCTTGGGATTGAGCCCCACATTGGGCTCCCTGCTCAATGGGGAGCCTGCCACTTCCTTCTCTTCTCTGTTATTCCCCCTACTTGTGCTTGCTTTCACTCTCTGTCAAATAAATAAAATCTTAAAAAAAAAAAAACCAAAAACCCCAAACAGTCAAGGGACGCCTCGGTGACTCAGTCGGTTAAGCATCTGCCTTTGGCTCGGGTCCTAATCTCAAGGTCTTGGAATTGAGCCCCATATCGGGCTCCCAGCTCAGTGAGGAGTCTCCTTCTCCCTCTGTTCGTCCCCCACCTCGCTTCTGTTCTCTCTCTCAAATAAAAATATAATTTTAAACCAGTGAAAAATTTATTCCTTCAAAATAATTTAGAAATTATTCATGGACATTCTATGTAGAAAGCCCACATTTGATTAATACAGAATTTGAAGTTTATACAGTTTTTTTAAAAGATTTTATTTATTTATTCATGAGATATATATATATATATATATATATATATATATATATGATAGAGAGAGAGAGAGAGAGAGAGAGAGAGAGAGAGAGAGAGGCAGAGACACAGGCAGAGGGAGAAGCAGGCTCCATGCCAGGAGCCTGATGCGGAACTTGATCCTGGGACTCCAGGATCGCGCCCTGGGCCAAAGGCAGGCGCTAAACTGCCAAGTCACCCAGGGATCATTTTTGAATGCTAATTTTAGGAAAATAATTGATTTCTCCCAGTAACAGTTTGGACCTTTGATTTTTTTTTTTCTGGTATCAGGTGTACAGTAGTTGAATTAACATAAATATATCCTTGCTAGAGCAATTTTTGAATTGATCAGTCATTTCTTCTCATGGGTAAACCTACCTGCTCTGGGATGATACTCTAAATAGCCTTATAATACTTTTAAATACTCTAATTACTTTTGTCTGTGTTGTTAACAGATATGCATGTGCAGGAGCTCACACACAATTGGTTGATGGCTTTTGTGTTGTTTTGTCTGTGTATCTTTTCTACTTTTAAGTCAGATATTATTTCTTTAATTTCTTTTTTTATGTTCCTACACTACCGCACCTATATATTCAAGAAATACCCTTCCCTTTTGATTTTAGTAGAAAAAAAATAATTTTATATAACAAGACGAAATACTTTGATTTAGGAGAATATTTAAAGTACTTTAAAGCTTCCCTGCCCTCCCTTTCCTCTTCTCAGGGCTCTTCCTGTCCTCTTTCCTGTACTTTTTTTATAGTGGCCCAGTTATGTTTCCATCTAGATGCACAGATGAAAAGGCAGGGAAAGGAATCTCTCATCTAGAGTATAAGCAGACATGTAAATGGGTACTTACAATGTGAGAGGTAAATGGAGTCTCTTCCTGAAAAATGTCATTGGTGACATACCTTT